CTTTTCAATTTTAATGTAATTAACTTTAATCGAGTTCTTTTCTAAAGAGCGTTGATAGGTAAGACTTGAATATTTTATTTGGTATATTGAAATCAGAAATCCACAATAAGATTAAAAAATATAGCTAACCAAAGTTGGCAATAAAAAAAAACATAAAATGTTGAATAACTCACTTAGCAGTCATTTCCAACCCTATTTTTCATGGGGATTTTTTCATAACTTTAGGAGCCCTATCTACCCTGAAAATATGTAAAACCCGGAACCTAACACCCTGTATACTCGATCATTGGTGATCGAAATTGAAGAGAGAGAGAAAGAGAATCGGAGAAGGCTTGTAAGAATGCTTGCCTGGCGTGTTCGCGCCACTTGTGACTTGTAAACGGGCATAATGTAATTCGACCTCGTTTGCCTTTTTGTTCAAGAATTGCTTAATATGATTTGTGCGGCTCATCATCATGCGTGCATTGCGTTGCTCAAATAGGTTCGATAACTGCGAAGGGTCTGAAAAACGACGTCAGCTAGAATAGCAAACGATTTATGGAAAGTAATTGATGAAGTGCAAACATGTGTGATGCACATGTTACACCATCTCCCTACGGGAAACTGATTTAATGTAAAGGAAATTATGAAGTCAAAATATGCCTCTTACAACATTTGTTAAAGTATTTCGCTTTATGACTATTATTATTTTTGAAGATTTCACTATACCATCCCCCTGAGAGAGCGTTTATCTTTATTTAAATTTCAGTAATCTGGATTTATGAACTGTTAGTTGCTTTTTGTTATTATTTATGCTAGTAGCATTTGAAAAGTTTACATCTATTACCTTATATGGTCCTTCGTTAACTTGATCTAGTTTATTTCTGTTTTCCAATAGGTCGTTTATCTTTAATTTTATGAATAGCGTCTAATTCACTTGCATGTACTACTTGTAACTTAATTTCTCTATCGTAAGCATCATAATTATTTATTTATTTATTTATTTATTTATTTATTTATTTATTTATTTTTATTTAATACATCCATCTGACAATAAGTCTTAATGAACCAGAAGCCATAACAAATACTAAATGTATCTGGAGTTAATAATACGTCTCTGGAATTGAGCAGCAGGTTCCCCAAACTCGAACAACTCTTCAACTGTAGAAAACGTGCGAATCATACTCGTAACAGGTTCATGTTGTCCAAAAGAAGAGCGGTGTGAGTCTTGACGCAATAGGAACGTTGAGCGTAGAAATCTGCTTGGCGCACGAAAGTTCAAGCAAGAGAGTAAATGTGTAGAGTCAATTTCACCACTTAATAACTTCGCGACGAATGTTGTCTGTTGAATTTGTCGCCGTCGTTGTAACGTTTCCATGCTTAGCAAGCGACATCTCTCAGCATACGGAGGTAAGTTTAGTGGATCTCTCCAAGAAAGTTGTCTTAATGCTCGACGAATGAGTGTTTTTTGGATACGTTCTATTCTGATGTTCCAGGAAAGTTGGTAGGGAGTCCAAACAACAGATGCAGTCTCGATAATCGGACGAACGATATGGAGATATGGTTTTTGCGTTAATTTCAAACTGTTACATTTTCGTCCGTATAGTAATTAAAAAGGCGTATAGTCATGATCGTGGTTTGGTGTGGTATTATAGCAGAAGCTATAATAAGGAATCCAGTCATCCCAATCGCTATTTCTCTCGTTACAGAAAATTTTCAGGCATTCATTCAAACACCTGTGATTTCTTTCTAACGCGCCTATCGTTTGTGGGTGGTAAGCGGCGGAGCACGTGTGTTTGATGTTTAACATTTTACAAACTTCTTCAAAGACAGCTTTGAATTCTGTACCTTAATCTGTTTTAATGTTAGCCATCGGTTCGTAGACAAGCATACATTTTTCAACTACGGCTTTCGCCATGGTAGTTGCTGATTTATCAGTTATGGGCACTAGTATAATATATTTAGTGATATCGATTTCCATTTTCAGATAATGGAAAAGGTCCTACTGTATCTATTGATACAACGTCGAATGATATTATCGGTGTTGTCGTATGTATAATGTTTGTTCAATAAACATGAAGAACAAGACTTCACGAATTCTGATATCGTCCTTTCCATATCAGGCCAAGAGTACATGGCTTTAATCTTCTTATAGAGTCGATTAATGCCTAAATGTCCTCCTGTGGGTATATTATGGTATTGTTTTAATACTTCTTTGATTTCATTTACGTTTGATAATATTTTGGGTTTATCATAAACCAATACGGTAACATTCCGAAGAATATTGTTACGAACTTCTTTAAATAAATCCATTTCTGTAAGATTAAAAAGTTAATCGCTTTTTGATAAAGCTACTTGTTTGATTGTTCTCTTGTTCCTTTTATTATATTCATTTTTAGTAATGTCTTCGACTGAGGCCTCGCTTCAAATATTTGCTTTAGCATTTCTTTAACATCGTTTTTGATATTATGGTTGTACCCTAAGGTACATTTGTGTAATTTTTCTTTAATAATAAAAATATTAGTTTGTTTTTATATTGTTCGAATGATAATTTTGGTAATTCGAAGGCTTCGTGGTTGCTTATTGCTTCGGAGTTGATCAGGCTCCTGTGATGAAGAGTTAGACTTTGATTTATTTTCTTTAGCCATCGAACGTGTAACGACGTACATATTTCTTAAAGAGTCGGAGTCTATTTGAATTCGAGAAAGGGCATTCGAGATGTTTGGGGGAAAGTTTTGGCGTGGTTTGGACTAGCAATTTCTCGATGGTTGAAAAGAACTAAAACTGAACGCATCTGCTCGATACAAGATTTATTTTACTAATAATTCAACTGACAAGGTTTCTCATTTAACAGGTAACGCAAATACAACATTGTATGTGTATACACTGAAATAAGTGGACTGTATTCTTCTTACTGAGCAATCAACAGAGTCAACATCCGGAAACAGACAGATCTTAGTCACTGCCCGTTTAAACTCGCTACTCGCCTTCTTGACGGTGACCACTCTCACCACCCTGTCCTCACCTGGATGTGTAGCAGTGATGCGGCCCAAATTTCACTGCTGTGGTGGAACGTTCTCCTCTCGCAGTAGCACCAAAGCACCTATTTTGATGTCCAGAACATCGCCCTTCCATTTCTGCCGTGTCTGCAGCGTGTGCAGGTAGTCAGCAGACCATCGCTTCCAAAAATGTTCTCTCATGTACTGCACATGTTGCCACCTTGACAGTCATCGTCCCAACCCAGCTTCAAACTCCATAGCTCTTGCATTATCAGTTTTGCGGTGGTCACCACCGGTCCTAGGAAACCCAGTGGGTCGAAAAGCTTGATAATTTCTGATAGAACCATCTTTTTGGTGAATCTGCCTCCATTCAGCTCCAGGTGTGGTACGTTGAAAGCGAAGTAGTCGTAATTACACGCAGAAAAATGGATTTTTGTTTCAGGGCCTAATGTATTTTGTTATTGATTCAAACATATTGTATCACTAGTTCAACGAAACATATTTTTGAATCAACAAAATGGTTTTTGGAATCAACAAACAGATTATTGACTCTACAACCGGTTTGTTGATTCAAAAATATTTTTCTTTGAACTAATCAAATAATATATTTGAATCAATACCAAAAATATATTAGGCCCTGAGCCAAAAATATATCCATTTGAATATAAAAATCATTTCTCTGTGTGTACGATTCCATATTAGCCCCAAAGTCTTGATAGTGTCGTTGATATCGGACATCTCGAAGTCTACCTGCTTTTCCTGCAACTTGTCTGGGATGGACTGAAGAACTTCAGCGCTATTGGAGCAAAATTTATGCACACCGAAGCCACCTCGGCTCAGCATGTCCTTTAACTGCTTGTAGATTTCCACGACGGCTGCAGCTGTTTTGCCTCCAGCGAGAAAATCATCTATGTAGCTATCCTCCTTGAAAACGCCAGCTGCCACAGAAAAGTTTTCTGCTTCGTCCGTAGCCAGCTGTGTCATCGCCCTTGTGGCAAGGTAAGGGGCACTCGAACAGCCGTATGTGACCGTTGTTAATTCAAAGGTAGCCATTTCGTTCGCGTCGTTGAACCACACAATTCTCTGATACTTTCGATCGTACTAGTACCTGCCGGTACATCTTAGGTACATCCGCTATTAGCACTACCTGATGCGTACAGAAACGTAGCATGATAGTGACCAAGTCGCTTTGCACTGTTGGTCCTACCAGCTGGGTGTCGTTGAGAGATATGCCTGTCGTTGACGCCGCCGAGGCATCAAAAACCACTTTTGTAGTCGAGCTGGTGGCCTTGTAGACTGCGTGGTGCGGTAAGAAGTAGCCTTCCTCCGGGTTGTGGCTTACCTCTTGCATATGGCCCAGAGTCGCATATTCTGTCATGAATTGCGTGTAGGCTTCTCGCTTGGATGGGTTTTTGGTAAGACTGACCATCAGCCTTCCAAGTCGGCGCTTCGCATTCTCATAAGAGTCGCCCAGTTGACCCTTGAGATTATTGAATGGCAGTCTAATAACGTACCGCCCCTCATTGTTTCGGCTGTGCGATTCATCGAAATGTTGTTCTACAGCACGCTCTGCTGAGGTCATCTTGCTGGTGTGATACCCTGCCTCCAGTTCCCAGAATCTGGAGAGAGTACGGTTGACATCTTCATACGTGGTTGCTAGCTGACAGACTCGTCTTTGGACAGCCGATTGCTTGGTCCCCGCAGAACCGCTGACGACCCACCCGGACACAGTTTCAGCCAGTGTCGGGAAGTCACTTCCTATCTTCACACGTCCCTTCCTTAGAATGTCGTAGAATATTTCAGCGCCGATAATCACATCGACGACATCCGGAACATCAAACGGTGGGTCTGTTAGCTTGATGCCAGCAGGGAGTGGCCAGTTTTGGATTTCTACCTTACCTGTCGGTAGCTCGGTGATTGATGGGGTCACTATAAAATCAAAAACAGCAGAAAACTCGCCATCTCGAGACGACACCTTCGTATGGACAACCTTGTTGGCCGTTGTCTTCATCCCGTTCAGTTCGCAGATCGTAATCGGCGGATTCATTACTAACAACTGCATGTTGAGTTTCTTCGCCAACCTCTCCGTGATGATGTTGGACTCAGAGCAGCAGTCCAGCAACGCTCTACATGTCGTAGTTGCATTACCGGAACCGAACACCACGATCTTCGCTGTAGACAGAAATATTTGCTTCGATATTGGTTGCGTTTGTGTGCAGCAGCTGACTATGCGCTGCTCAGGTGCAGCTGGTGGTTCTTCTTTCTTTTCAGCCTCCACTGAATTCTTCGGTTGGTTGATCTCAGTTTGCTTCCTGGAATCTTCTGAGCGCTTTTTGTGGAGGAAGCTGTGGTGATGCTTAGCACAGATTTTACAATGCTGGTCCGATGTGCAATCCACTGTACGATGTCCTGGGCGCAGACAGTTAAAACATAGACCTGCCTTCTTGACCTTGTCAAAGCGCTCGGCACCAGGTAGCTTTTTGAACTCGGTGCACTTATATATAGAGTGGGGATTGGAACAGCACGGGCACGATTCCTTGTTTGTTTGAACGAACATTTTCGTTTGTTTAGGCTTTATCGGTACCTGCTGCTGTCCGAGTTTTGCTGCTACCTGCGGGTGATTGATGTGGGTGTAGTTCGTCAACTTCTGAAGGACACGGCTTCGTTCTTTAAGGAAATCAATCAGAACCTCGAATGATGGGAGTTCGCCGCGATTCAATGACGACTCCCACAACTTTCTGCTTTCTCTGTCCATCCGCTTGCTGATCAAGTTGATAAGAATCAGCTCCGACAGGCCTTCTACCGGGAGCTCCCGGGTTTTCAAAGCATCTACATGCTTTGTGCATGTCTCCACCAATTTTCGCATCTCATCGCCGTTTTCTCTGATCAACTTAGGCAGATCTAGCAACGCATCGATGTGAGTATCGATGATCAATCGCTCATCCTCATATGCATCTTCCCACAATCGCCATGCCGACTCGTCGTAGTTGTTGTTTTTAATTACCTCTTGATCAATTTTGTCTGCTGCGTTGCCAATCAGTGTGTTTTTTAGGTGGTACAATTTGATCGCTGGCGACTCATTTGGATACCGACCCATCACGGTTTGGAACATACATTTAAATGAGTGCCAGTTTTTCAACTTTCCATCAAATGTAGGCAATGGCACTTGTAAGTGAGGGACGTTGTGTATCATCTGTGTTCTCGGAAGGGATTCCGACGCATTGGCGTTTTGTGCCAAAGCTCGACTTGAATCATCGCGCTTCAAGTCAGCTATCTTTGTCTGCACTTTCACATATAAGTCGGCATGGAGTGTTTCGAAATCAAGGTAAATGGTTTTCCATTCACCTTTTCTATCCCTGGCGACGAGACCGACTGCTTCGTTGTAAACGGAATCGAATTCCTCGTAGGACTTCTGGATTGTTTGCTGCTGAAGAGTCAGGTAGTGTATGTTGTTCGCTTCATCCTTGTATATCGCCTTTTTAATGCGATGCATTTTCTCCATGATGAGATCCCGACGTTCGCTTAGGTTTTCCAATGTTTGCTCCATTTTCTGGCGCACTTTCTTCACCCGGTCTAATTCTTTCTGTTGGGCAACACTGAACTCCAGCGGCGACTTCGAGAACTGAGCAGTTTCTTCATCCGTATCAGTGGATTCCTCCTGAACTCTTGATCCCGTCAAAGCCGCCAACAGGTTTTTTCTCGTTACACTTCTTGTTACTCTGGGAGTATCACTAATTTTCTTATATGATTTCCTTTTATGTTCACTCATTAATCTTCTTTTGCGTTTTGTTCACAAAAAGTTTCACTTTTTCCTCTTCTCACTTTTGTTTTCGCAAGCCTTGTGCTTTCGCCGTTCTTCGCTGCCGCAATGGCTGATTACGGCGCTTTTTCACATAACTATGTACTAAAAGCTTCGCGCTTCTCCTTTTTTCCGTCGTTCGAAAGCTTCGCGCTTTCACTCTTCTTTGCAACCGCCCTGTACGGGTGCGGAGCTTTGCACTTAACTACACTTTTATTCTGGAAGCTTCGCGCTTCGCTTGCTTTTGCCAGCACGCCCTGTACGTACCGAAATCCAACTTAAACTTCGGCAAACTGTGCCGCTGCTCATCCAGTGGCGGAACGCCAGACCAGATAATCCACTTAAAGAGCGTTTGACGATCTTTCGCACTTGTGGTAGCTCAAACCACTTTTCCACGTAATCACGCAACACGTTCTTGCATGCACGCAGTCGCCAATAATGGCGCCGTCAAAGATTTTGATGTAAATCCAATTTCTTCTTGCACTTACGATCAAAAAAGATTCCGCGAACCATCCAGAAATCGCAAAAAGTTGTCCAAATCCGGATCCCGATAGGATCAAAATGTTTGGGGGAAAGTTTTGGCGTGGTTCGGACTAGCGATTTCTCGATGGTTGAAAAGAACTAAAACTGAGCGCATCTGCTCGGTACAATATTTATTTTACTAATAATTCAACTGACAAGGTGTTCCGTCTGTTCCCAGAAGGACTGAAGTGAGGTAGCACCCAATCCTATTTCTACGGCAACACTACGAACAACGACGCTCAATACTATCGAATCCCTACCGTGCGAGGGAGAACAGTACAAAACGAGATCAGTATTAATTCAACCTTCAAAGTGTGTACACTAGAGCAAAGAGCAATAAATGTAGTTAAGTTAGTGTAGCAAAAGTGTTCTTTCCATCGAACCGATCATCCGAAATTACAGTCCACCACCGAAGATCCGTCCATCCAAGGGAATCGTCAAGGGCACTTCCAGTGTCATCCCAAGATCGTTTTCCACGGCGATTCCCTCCCGCATGTGTTATGGTTCATTGCATCAGAACATAATTTGGTTCTTCGAACCGGATCGGAATGCAGCCAAGGTTTAGCTGCCCACGAAGAGGATCGGTACCCAGTCCACGAGAGGTTTCCTGCCAGGAGAAAAGCCTAATCATCCCGAGCGAACACATCGTTGCTACACGAAACGAAACGAAACGAGTTTCTTGCTGCTGGTGCTGTGTGCACACATTCGTATGCGTCGCGTAGTGAGCGGTCCGCAATCGTCCGCCGTCACAAAAGACAAAAAGTGAACGCCATTTTGCTAATTCCGAACGAGTCGAAAACAAGTGTGTGCGTGTACAAGGTCATGTACAGGTGCGTCGTGTGTGCAACATTGCCGAATTCATACCGAAACATTTAGTCCCGTCGCGTGTGCTACGTTGCCAGGTCCGTATCGAAACGATGAGTGCGTCGCGTGTGTAAGAAAAAGGCAACTAAAAAACTGAAGTGGAAAAGTGACCTTGAAGCCAAACCAAAAAATGCCGGTAGAACATTCACCGTTGAAACAAGTGCAGCAAGAGGAGCAACTACAACAATTGGATCAAGCGGAACAATCAGAAGACGTTCCAATTGTGCAACATATGGAGTTGCCGGGTCCGCCTACCGGGCAGCTTTCAAGATCCAATTCATCAGGTTCATTTCACGGATTCAATTGGGAGGAGGCTATGGATTCTGAAACGATGCGGAGATTGAAGGGTCTGTTCCGGCAGAGAGGACAAATCGAGCAGAAGCTAGTGCGAATCCAGTTAACCTTGAGAGACCAAAAAAGTATGAGGTTGGCCCAGCTGCAGTGCACCAAGGAAAAACTCGTAGCCATCTACACCGAGTTTAGCCACTTCCATAGCTCATGGCCTTGATTCCTGACGAAGCATCGGATGAGCAGGATGACATTTACTGCTCCTTCGAGAATCGTCACAATGAGTTGTCAAATCGCGTTCAGGAATTGATCAACTTCGCTACACCACGGCAACCTGCAACTTTTTCTGTTCCCGCACCACAAGTCATCATCCAGCAACAACCACTGAAAGCGCCAATCCCTACGTTTGACGGCAATTACGCTAATTGGCCGAAATTCAAGGCGATTTTCCAAGACGTGATGGCGCAGTCTGGGGATTCGGAAGCGCTGAAGTTGTACCATCTGGACAAAGCGCTGGTTGGATCCGCTGCTGGAATACTGGATGCGAAGACGATCAATGAAGGTAATTATCAGCAAGCCTGGAAGGTGCTATCCGATCGGTACGAGAATACGCGTGTGATTGTGGAATCTCACATCCGAGGATTGCTTTCGTTGAAGAAGATGTCGAAAGCAACGTTCAAGGAATTGGATAGCCAGCTGAGCGAAGCAACCGGTCACGTCGAAAGCCTTCGGTACCAGAAGCAAGAGCTGGTCGGTATTTCCGAGCACATCGTGGTGTATCTCATCGTCACTGCCTTGGATGATTCGACGCGAATGGCCTGGGAACGTACCCAACAGAGAGGAGTGCTGCCGACGTACGAACAGACGATTTCATTCATCAAGACCAGCTGTCAAGTCCTAGAGCAGTGTGAGTCATCGCGAGTGCTAGCGCAACCAACTATCTCCAAACCCAAAGCCATATCGACTACAAGCAAGATGCCGTTGCTGAAGAGCAACACAGCCACCACGAGTTCCAGCACATCCCAAGGTCATTGCCAATTCTGTGGCAGTGGACATTTCAACTTCCAGTGCACGGAGTTCAAACAGCTAACAGCAACTCAGAGGGCAGAGAAAGTTCGAACGACAGGTTTGTGCTTTAACTGCCTCCGCAAGGGAAACAGTGTACGCCTCCGCAATCCAAACAGTGTACGTCCAGCAAAACGTGTCGAAAGTGCAGCAGAAGACATCATACCCTACTACATGATGACAACGAAAGGGACAGCAGCCAGGATGTCAAAGCGAACGTCGCTTCGCCAAAGAATCGTGAAATCAACAAACCACCAGCTAGTGTTCAACCTTCTGCTTCGGTGGTGGATGAACCCGTGTCCACTGCATGCTCAAGCGATCACGTCCAAACATCGAAGACCGTTTTGCTGCTTACTGCAGTCGTCCAAGCCATCGATAAGCATAACCAACCGCATCCATGTCGAGTCCTGCTCGACAGTGGGTCACAAGTGAATTTCGTCACCGAAGAAATGGCAAACCGCCTCGGTTCTCCTTAGATGAAAGCCAACGTCCCGATTACTGGAATCAACGCCTTGAGAAGCCTAGCTCGTGACAAAGTGTTCGTAAAATTCCGATCGAGCTACGGCCAACAAGCCAACATCGAGTGTCTGGTTACACCCAAGGTAACTGGAACTATTCCAAACAGCAGAATCGATTTCAGCACCTGGAAATTCCCTGACGGCATCCAACTCGCCGATCCACGTTTCTTCTGCCCCGAGAAGGTCGACATGCTGATCGGGGGAGAGCTTTTCTTCGACATTTTGAAGCCCGATCACCTGAGCCTAGGTGCAAATCTACCGCAACTTCGAGACACTCATCTTGGATGGGTGGTAGCCGGAGTGATAAACGAGCCGTACGTTTCGAACGCGGCTATCCAACACGCCAACTCTGCTTCGATCGATTACATCGAGGAATTGATGCACCAATTCTGGAAGATGGAGGAAGTACCAGACGCTTCTCCATTTTCACCCGAACAACTGTCCTGTGAAGCCCATTTCTTATCGACGTACGAGCGTGATTACACCGGTAGGTTTGTTGTGAAGCTGCCATTCAAGGATAACGTGGACCAGTTGGATAACTGCCGCTTTCTGGCGCTCAAGCGATTCTTCATGCTCGAAAAACGTTTGGAACGCAATCCCGAACTCAAGCAACAATACGTCGGTTTCATCAAGGAGTACGAGGATCTCGGCCACTGCCGGGAAATCAAGGAAGCTGATGACCCACCGAATCTGAGTAGGTACTACCTGCCCCATCATGCGGTGCTGCGTCCTTCGAGCTCAACCACCAAGTGTCGAGTGGTATTCGACGCTAGCGCCAAGTCCGAACCATCCAAGCTGTCGCTCAACGAGGTGCTCCAAGTCGGCCCAGTAGTGCAGAATGGAATATTCTCAATTACGCTGCGATTCCGTAAGTACCCATATGCTTTTTCAGCCGATGTAGCCAAGATGTACCGTCAAGTGCTCACGGCGCTACTGGACAGGCGGTTCCTGCGATGCTTCTGGCGATCCGATCCATCGCATCCGTTGAGGGTACTTGAATTGAATACCGTTACGTACGGTACAGCTTGTGCACCATACCAAGCAACGAGGTGTTTGGTGCAGCTTGCCCAGGAAGAAGGTTCTGAGTTTCCCATCGGTGCTCGGATCCTGATAGAAGTCTTCTACGTCGACGATGCTTTATCTGGAGCCAACACCCTCGAAGATGCCATCGAATGCCAACGTCAGCTGAAAGCCCTGCTTGCCAGAGGTGGATTTCATATCCACAAATGGTGCTCCAACTCGGATGAGTTTCTCGAGCACATACCACCTGCAGATCGAGAAAAGAAAGTTCCGTTACACGAGTATGGACCCAACGAAGTAATCAAGGTACTTGGATTGCTCTGGGATCCGAACATCGACATTTTCATGATTGCCAATCCACCAAGCGTTTCGCAACCTGCCGATAAACCAGCCACAAAACGCATCATTTACTCCGAGGTGGCAAAGTTGTTTGATCCACTCGGATTGTTCGCTCCAGTGATCGTCACCGCG